CTCAGGGGAGAACAAATTCACTGACACCCTTGTGCAATATCCCCTGTTTCTCAGGAACCCTGGCTCTATACCTAGTTCTGCTTCCAAAGCCTCTTCATATAGTTCTGGGTAAGACTTGGGATCTGCTCCATTAAGATGGGCCATATGAACTAGGAGTTTCATCTTGCTGGTTTCAGCGTGGGCCCTTGGACCCCACAAGAACTCATAGCGAGCAGGATCACTGTTAGGAATCTGCCAGTACATCAGGTTCTCTTCCTGTACTAAATCCTCAGTGATGAATTTCCAGGCTTCCTCAAAATGAATATGCTCAGAGTGAGCTAAATGTCCCATCTTTCTACTTTTTCAGTTAGATCCTCCTCACTAATATGGTTGCCCTCTATGAAGATTAGAGACAGGACGAATACAATGATGTTGATTTTGAGAATGATTCTTTCATCATCGCCATCTAGTATCCCACTGTATGTAAGACCCAAAATGGGGACTAGCTCATATGTGTTGCCGGAGTGATTCACTTTCCTGATTTTAATGCCAAAGCCCAGATACATGGACTCACAGAGTTCCCAAAAGTTCAGAGGGAAGTTGTTATGGTAATCATGGGGCAGAACATGCAGCATTTCTTTCATGGTGACCTGCTCCTTCTTTTGATACTTGTGGAGCAGAACTGACACCAACTTACAAAACTTGGCATTTTAGGAGCATATTTTGCAGGATGTGAGAGAAGAGTGTGTCCTGCGAGGAACTTGGACCCTCACAGGGTTGACTCCTTTGACTGGAAGCCATGAAGACAGCAAGAACTTGTTAAGGATCAGAAGCCTTCAAATCTCCAGTGCTGGAAAATAGAGTGCTGAGCAATAGTAATTCAGCTGCTCCAAGAATCCAAACCCAGATTTTGAAAAATCACAACTGAGAATTCTCCACTGCACAGTGCAAGGCTAGCAACAGAAGCAGGAATGAGTTATTTTCAGAGTCTCAACCTGGAATGTGGCCATCTGTCTCACCCTCAGCCCCAGTCTATTTCTTTTTATTGGTGAATTGAGGCCATTACATTGATGGTTAGAATTGATAGATATTGACTCATCCTCATCATAATGTTTTGCTGTTGTTGGTTCTTTTATTTTTTATTTTTCCCCCCTTTCCCTTCAGTTTCTTGGATAGATCACATGCTAGCTCATAGGGAAAATCTAAATAAATGTAAAAGAATTGAAGAACTGTTTCCTTGCCTTGCTTGGTGGCTTTGCTCTGTGGGGCCTCATGGAGTTGTGACCTTCATTATCTTTTTCTAGGATATTGTTTGGAATTGTTTGGAGTGCTGGTTTGGTGTTCATTAAATTTCTCAGGTGTTCTTTGTTGTGGAAGTATCTAATTTTGCCATAAATTTTGAAAGATAATTTTGCAGGATACAACAGTCTAGGTTGGAAGTTATTTTCTTTTAGGGCTTGAAATACTTCACTCCAGGCTCTCCT